TTAAGAAAGTCAGTTAGGAATGTTTTTCTCTTCAAACTTCTCAGGCTTCATATAGGTTAAAACTTACCCTGACTGCACTGTTTCCCTCATACTTGGACTTCTGACTTTAATCCTTTCCAGTTTTGAAAGCCTAACTTCTACTCCCAGAGCCTCAAAAGTCCAGTCTTCTCTGCAATGCCTGTGGAGAATTCTGTGATCTCACGAAGTATTTAAGGGTTGACAACAGCAGTATTTTACATTTTGAAGGGTCAACATCCTCTGAACTAGCTTAATCTCACGGGTCTGTGAAGCGGTACTAGAAATGCTGCCTAAACATGTTCTCCATTCAACTTCCTTTAGTCTTGGCTGAAATCCAAATACAAAGAGAAAAAAAAAACATATGGAGGGAAAAAGAAACAGTTAATTAAAGGCCAGATTCTGAGCATATTTACTTACTTGAGGGCATTAAAACCATATCTAGGGAATATGTCGAATCTCACTGGAAATTTATACCTTGTTTGCTGCCAGCATCTAAACTTAGTTGACCCTCAGAACCTCATGAGCTTTTCCTTCACTACATCAGCTACATCAACCAGCATTTTTTTAGCTATGAGTTAAAGAGCAGCCTTCCACTTTATATAAAGAGAGTGACAGAAGAAACATCAAAGTATCCCAACCATCCAGAGGAACTGGCTCAGGCAACATGTCTCCTGATGGTCCCAACCAGCTTGTCAGACACCCACCAACACCCCAGTTATTTCTTTTACCAGTTGGAGCCCCTAGCCTTAAGGCCTTTAGCAGACCTGTACTGAATGAGACACGATTATACTGGGAAGCTAATGAACTTGGAATTAAGACATTATAAACATAGGGAAAAGGAGACGTAGGTCCATGGCTGAGAAGAACAGAAACAGTTGTGTTGAGGCCTGGAGTTAGAATGGCTGCGGGATTCCCTGAATTCACCAGCCTATAATTTTGTTACACATATTTGGAAATACATGGGTCAAATGATCTAATTTCATCTGCCATATTCATGCTGATGACTGAAATGTCTGCTGATATTTCCTCCCACCTTTCATTATTTGAATTGATTGCTGACTTCTGTATGATCCTATTCTTTTTTCTATTGAGGGAATTAGCTCATCATCCCTCAGTGTAAACACTACATTTACCAGAAATTGTACGTTATTTCTGAAATTCTTCATATTTAACAGATTTTGTATAAATCTCTCTCTCCGTAGGAAGTAGAGGTGAAGATTTGTCACTGGATCTACCTGTTGATTCTGAAAGATCTGAAGAGATATCAAATGCGATGTAATTGCCCAAGAAAGTCCTCACAGTCCCCCTTAAGCACAATAAAGGCTTTTTGGACATTGATTCTGCTGCTCATATACAGTTATTTAGTGCCATTCCATGCATCCCAGTGGGATAGGCAATATACTGGATGGCTGTGGGGACACTAACAGCATCCTGCGCTTTTCCAAAGCAGCAACTGAAGATCAGACAGGATATGTCAAAGGGCACTAGATGGCTTCATTTAGCAGATAATTGGGCTGTCAGGGTTTGTAGTAATTTGATGGACTGGAATTTTATATCTTTTGACTTTCACCATTAGGCATGAACCACAATAGAGGTGTAAGGAGGTAGAGATGATCTAAACCACCAGCACCTCTCAGTTTGGATGAAAAAAGTGCTGTAGAGTACTGTGCTTAGCAGACTGCAGCCTTTTTGCAGCTGATGAAGATCTCTGTGAGTGTCTTTTCACATGCCAGCATCTTTTCAAAGTATCACATGGTGCAGACACTGTGTCTTGTAAAAGTGAAAAAAAAAATCTTTGCAGACACCTGGGCTGCCTCTTTCCGGTACTTAACTTTAATCACTTAGAAAACACAAAGTGCAAGTCTAGCATCAAGCATTTAATTATAGAAGGTCCTGTCCCTTTACTTTGCTCTCCCCCAAAGCACTGTTTAAAAGCAATGTCCATAACATCAATATTTAACAAGGAGGCTGGTTCATTCTTACAAGGAAAGGGATTGCTCTACACGTGGATTAAATCACAGTGCCCAGGCCGCTGACAATAATGCAAGGGTCTTTCAAGATGAGCCACTTGATTGCTACTTTAAAGATTGCTAGTGTAAGGAATGTGTAATCTCTCTCTTTTTTTTAATTGCATTTGAAATGAAATAGCTTGCTTAAATATTATCTGGATATATATTCATCTGTATTTATACAGCTCATTTTTAGAACTGGGTTAGCACCTGGTGATCCAGCCTGAGAAAGCATCATGCTATCCCTGTCGTAGCCCTAGACACACCATTTGATTTCTCTTACCTCCTTTGCAATGTGTGACAAACTTTTTCCAATATAATTTCCTTCCCGCATCACAGCAGACATCAGTGCTGCAGTCACTGTTCTCCTGCCTGTGCAGTTCAGCAGCAGGGCTTGTCCCGGTGCTAACACCGCTCAGCCCCTTCTCCTGTGGACAAGGGCAGTTCCCTTGGGGACCACAGAGTAGCCCAGGTGCAAGAAAAGAGTTGCAATGTATTTTGTTCTTTGAATATTAGAGAAAGATCAAGGGAATTTTCAATATTACTGCCCATAATATGCTCCTGAGTGTTGAAGGAAATGTTTCTGATGGTGTTGAAAATCTTTATCTCTGCTTTTAGAGTTGACTCTATAGTTCCTTTCCCAAGTGTTTCCACCCACTATTTTTTCTACCTTTGTCTTAAACTGTGGCACAAAATGCCAAATGTACCCCTGGCAGAAGATATGCTGCACAATTCTGCCTGTCCTCTGCTGGTCTCAAAATCCTGCAGAAATCGTCCTCATATCTGCTGCACATCTGGGGATGGAGCTGACAAACAGCCAAATGATGCTACCTAATGATTTCATTTCTCCTGGGGGAAGTGCAGAGAAGGATAATAGATATACTTTGCAACAGCGTTCCAGGGGAGTTTATCTAAGCAGGGAGAAGAATTAATAGGCTGCCTTTTAGGGAAAGGCAAATTTGCTGAAATATAAAAGTAGTAAGGAGATTTCCTACAAAACAGCACTGGAGAACTAAAAGTATCTGAGCAGAGTCCAGCCATGCCCCAGGCAGCGCGTGTGCTGCCAGCGTGGCCAACGTACCATCAAGGGGCTCTGCCTACGCGCCCGCTCTCTCAGCTATGTGAGGCAACAGCCTTTGGCTTGGAGTAGGATGGATGCCAGCAGTAGATGGGCGCAGCTTTGACTTTTTGTAGCTGTGTCTTGAAGCCCTTGAAGGGCAGAGACCTCACAGTCTCTCCGGGCAGCCTTGTCTATGATGCCCTCCCCTTTCCAGGGCAGTTCACCTTGGGCAAGTCAATGTGCACCCATGGCAAGAGGGGAGCATGCAGAGGTAGCCAACAGAAACGTAAGCTCAGGTTGTGCCTCAACGAGTGCTTGATGTGGGGCTGTGCAGTTGGAAATCAGGAGGAACTGGGCAATCTGAATATGGCTAGGAGCACTCTTCCTTCGCAGGTACCTGCACTAGTAAGAAAACTCTCGCTTGCCATTGACCCCTGAGTTTTGTTACAGTTTTAAGCAAATTAGAACAGTGAACCTGACCAACCACTATGGTAAATCAGCACAGCTCCAGTGCCTTGAAGAGAGGTGAAAATGCAAGTTTGCCTAGGCAAAGTGTTTGGCTTTTTGCCTACGTATAAATTAATTTGTGTTGGACCGCATGGACATCTAGGATGCAGCCCCACTAAGCAGGAGGTCATGTAAATCAAGGGGAAGCATATCACTGTCTGTGTGGGTGAATAGGAGTGGAAAGAAAGAATTTCCTAGAGCTAGGACGTTACTGAGTCGTTGAAAGTCAAGGAATCATATGTAATATAATGAATGGAGGGAAATTCTCTGGCTTTCCTCCAACAGCCAAGCATTATTCATTGATCACAAAACAGATTTCCATCTCTTCTGAGAACATTTCTTCCATTTGCTAAGTGGAAAATGACAAATGAGCTAACTGTGCCCTCTCCCACATTCTTTCTCCCTCCATCTGTCCAGGCGCCCCTGTCACTTGGCCCTCTCTCAGCACACCGTGGCCGTACCGGTGTCCACTTACTTGGGACCACTAGCAACCTCGGTGGCGGCGGAGGCGGCGGAGGCGGCGGTAACGGTGGAGGTGGTCTACACTGGCAAATTTGCTGGCAGCTTTCTGCGACCTTCTCTGCTACAGGACTGGAACATGACTTCTGGGGCTCGCCCTGAGTGACCTGCAGAGAAACAAGTCACTACGTGAGAAGTAAAAACAGCTGGTTTTCCATAAACGCGTTTCTTGGACTTGAGCTCCTGAGCAGCACCTCCAACACCTGAAGAAAACTTAGTTCAGACCACAGCCCATTTCTCAGCAAGGCCACTAAAAGTGCCTCTGTCCTATGTGGTCTGTTTCTTTTTCTTCTATCTAACACAATATCTTCAAGACTTCTTGCTCTTTGTCAAATTTGGTTGAAATTGGCCAGCTGGTTTCAGAGTTATTATGTGCAAGGGAGAAGGCGGGTACTGGCAGACAATATGATTACGTAAACCCTCTTTCCTTAGGAAACCCATCTAACAGCATGCATTATTCACAGGCTTGCTGCTGCAAGCCGAAGAGAGCTAATAACAATTACAAGACATTTGGGGGCAGGATTATGTTCATTTTCATTATAGTAGAATGCAAAGCCAGATGAGATCTCTCCTCTGTTTTGCCAGCCTGTCTTTGCTGTTCAGAGACCATTTTGGTGAGTGTTTCATTACACACTAGGGCTACAGCCCACATTTTGCTCATCTGAGGACCATATAAAACACATGGCCAAAACAGAAATGCCACAAACTGTGACTTGTAGCCTCTCTAGAGCACAGTGTAGGTTAGCAATAAAACTGAAGATGAGACATTAAAAAAGCTGAGAGTAGGTGTCACTGGGCAACAGGCAATCCCTTAGCTGATGATGACAAGTAGCATCTATTAACAGCATATTTTCCTTACCACCCATAATATTTACATGATTAGGGATTTAAGGAATATTCAGCAACTGTAAAATTTCTAATCTTATACTATGATATAGAATTGTTAACTTCAGAGGTCTCTAAGCCAGCTCTTTTTGAATGAACTGAGGCTCATGCAGAAAGTACAGGATACTATTTTAAGGATACAAAGCCTAAAAGATTAGGAAAGGCATTATCTAACAAGCATTTTGAATTTAGAATTAGAACACCACCCAGGACAGACTCGTGTCTGACTGTATCTAAGGGCATTTAAGTAAGCATTCAGCTGTTGTCTTGAACAGGGATAGGCTGATGTATTTTGGTTTTAGGAGAGTGTCCTAATAGTTTCAGTCTATCATGTCTTTTTCTTTAATTAGCTCTTAACCCTAATAAAACAAGCTGGTTTTTCCTAGAAGGATGTGCTTACATCAGCCTTTCTGACCTGTTTTAGATAGGCCTCTTCCACCTCTCTGTCTATTCCGAAGGCTGTCCCTGGTCACCTTCTCTTCCTCTCTTCTGCCCAGCCTCTTTCCACAGCATCTTTGGCCCTCTTCCCCTGCCAGCCCAAGGCAGACAAAGACTCTCTCCTTTTCTCTCTCCCACCCCAATCTCCCAGCCTGTGGTATGGCCCACAAGTTTCTTCCTCTTGCACAACCCACAGCTCGGGACCAAGGGTGGCATGCTGCTGCTTGGCCAGGGAAAGTTGCACACATTCAATTCATGTATTTCTGGCCAGAAAGAGAGATAAAGCTAATTAAAACAATACCACTGCATGAAGGACATGTGCATAGCCAGTTTCTAAATGTAGAAAGATGCATTGCTCTGACCCTGGGGAAACGAGGTAGGGCTTTGTTAATTAACTGTTACAGGGAGGGAAGAAAGGAGTGGAAAAGGCTATGTGTAGCTGAGTTGAGAGAAAGGCTCCACGCAGCCCAAGTCAGAAGGCTCAATTCTTTAAAAAATCAAAATGTATTACCAAACATAGAGAAAAACAAATTCAGCACAAGTGATTTCCAACTTTCTGCTTCACCATCCGGTAACAGTAAAAGGATGGTTAAAGACCATCCTAGACAGCTTCCTTGAACCTGCACGGGCTCTCTGAATGCTTTAATGAATCAAAGTGACTTGACTTTATAATCCTTCATGGTTGTTAATAAAGCTGTCTACAAAGTAGCCTTTTATTTGGTGGGGTGGGGGGAGTAAGTGTTCCCAATCAGAATATCCTCTGCACCATTTTAGCTCTGTCACCACACCTAATGTAATATGTTATTGGGCTACTGATTCTTTCAGCAGCCTAAGTGCACCGGCAGTGTCAGTCACTTGGGGTATCTGCTGGGTCAGAATAGTGTGACAGTCCTCATGGAGGAAGTAGGGCACTATCTCTCCACTGGGCTCTGGAAACCACTACTAACGTCTGACTATGGTGCTCCAGTTGTTTAATTCTATGCATCATTACAATCGTTTGGGAGCCAGTGAAGTGGGAGAAAGTGGAGACAGGGAAGAACAACACTGAACAGGCTTGGAGCCAAGTTCATCTGCAGACCAGAAGCGGCTTTGTGTGTATATGTCTGAACATAGCGCTGATATGGAAAAGCTACGTTGACTTATTGCTCTAACTTAATATCAAGCAAGACCAAAAGGCTTGCTCTGTCTCTTTTTAGAACTATTGACTGCTTTTAAATCCCTGGAGGCTCTACTACCTTAGGCTGGTAACAGAACATTCTCAGAAACTCATGGATATTTCTCTCAATTACTTTACAGGCAAGATTAACCCTGTACATAAATAACCACATTCTGCTTGTGCATTCTTAAATACTATTTCTAAGGCAAGTTTCTTTGTCTCTCAATATCAGTCTGACCCTTCATCAAGATTCCTTATGTTAATTTTGAAATAGTCATGAGAGAGATGACATTCAGTAGAGTAGGCTTTATCACCTATTTGTTTCCCTACTGTTGGCCCTCAGTAAAATGGTTCTTGGAAGATAGTGGAAGGGATGCAGGTATTACCTGGCCAAAGGGTTGTGTTAGACAGTTAGTTTAAAAGAACAGAGATATTGAAAGTTAGCTGAAATCTGGCAGAAAATCAAGGCATGAATCAAGGTTGAGGACCCTGAGGGTTAAAGAACTATTCAGGTCCTGATGCAAGAAGGTTAACCAACAAGCTAGTAGCAAGATAAAACTAAGAAATAGAGTGAGAATATTTGGCTCATTTCCAAGAAAAAAAAAATCACACTGTTGATGCCTGTTAGTCTTCAGAAAGGAAGGAAGGCTATTACTTGTGCCTTCTAAAGGTAAGCAGAGCAAATCACTAGAAAATGTGCTTTAGGGAACAATCTTGCTCTGGCAAAGGATGGTGAAATAAATTACTCTATGTTTCTTTCCTGCTATGTGTAGTTGAAGGTAAGCTGCCTCTACAGGAGATGGCAGGAGAGAAAAAGGCATGTTGACAGAAGCCAGCCGTGTGCTGGACAATTCTGCTCATCAGAGTTCAACTCCAAGCTTCACTGCTTGCTTGTTTTGCCAGATGTTAACGTGGCCCCAGAATGGCTTCAGCAGCACTTTGCAGATAAAGATTAATCAAACACCCGCTGGGCTGCCCGCCAGTTTGAAGGCCCAAGATTGCCTCAGCAAGGCGTCCTCTCTGGAGATCTGCGGAACAGGCATGTTCCCTGGTTGTTAATTCTGCACCGCTCAGTTGTTCTTCCAGCTGTTGGAAGCACAGCGAACATCTTGGCTTATCTAAAGCCTGGGATTTTTGAGAGCATGAGGCTCTCAACACTTTCAGCAGTTTGCCAGACACGTGTTGCCTGGGCTTTGAGGTGATGTGTTTCCCCCTGCCCTAAAATAGGTAGAGAGTTGACATTATGGATTTGTGTATTTGATGTGAAAATGTCTTGTAAAAAGGGTATTTTTGTTTTAGATATTCACGCAGATGCAAATCTGATCTGCAGATCTCCAAGGAAAAGCAAAAAAAAAAAGCGATACTGGTGATTTTCTTTTTTATTCCTTCAACTGAAGTTTATATCTATAACATATTTCTCTTTAATCCAAGATTTCCTGTAGAAACGGTGGTCTTAGTCCTGCTTGGCATAGCGTGGAGGGATAAATCTGCATGTGGTCAGAGCTGTTTGGGATTTCAGTGCAGTCCCATAGCATTGCGGCAGTCCAAGAACAAGCTCTACAGTACAGGACCGATCCAAGAACAGGGAAGGGAGGAGTAATACAGTTCCCAGGGGGTAGCCCTCTTGTGACTTTCTGAATCAGGTAAAAGGAGGAAAGCTTGCAAAGAAAAGTGCAATTGACTGAGAAAGCAGAAAGATCTCTAAAAGCCTGCTGATGTGGCAGGAGCTTTGCTTCTTGGAAGCAGTCTGCACAGATGAGATCGCAACACTGCTTCTGAAATCCAGAACAGCTCTGCATAATTCACAGTAGAGTTAATCCGTATCTGTGCTTATGAAACCAGAAAAAAGATGTGACCCCACTATTTACCATGACACCTACTCTTTGTTTTTAATTATGTCAAAAGGCCCGGATAGGATCGTCTCTTCCTTCTTGCCATTGTGCTAGCTCCTACATTAAAAAAAAAAAAAACAATATTTTCTTTTTTTAATGAGATAAATGCTTCTCCTCTGATCAGTGTCTGACTGATTCTCTTTAGTCTCTCAAGGCAGGGCCTGAGGAGGAAACGGAGGATGTGGACAGAAAGGCTGTTGCACATGTAAGTCACAGCATGGCAGAATGGGTGAAGAGAAACTAGGGGAAGAAGAGACACGAGGAAACATGGATGGAGCAGAGATGGGGGACAGACATGATGGGACACTAGTGGAATAGTTGAGGAAAGTATTTTTTGGAAGACTTTGAAGGTAAGAGGAAAGATTATGACTCAACATGGAAAAGAGGAGTCAAAGATCTAAAGATGAGGGAAATACGACTGCATGGAAAGGGAGGACTGATGTGTTGGTGAAGGTGCCCAGCACTGGCAATCACTGCCAGAAACCTGAGCATGAGGAGGGGAATGCCATCCCTACAGGACCTGCTCCTGCGGGGAACAGTGTGGACAGAAAGAAATGGGCTGCTTCGGAATATACTACAGGAGAAGAGGCAGCAAGGCTTCAAGGGCTCGCTAAGATACTCCTGAACTGCAGGGATTCATTAGCTTCACCATGGTCATATCCTCTGCAGTCACTTGCAGTCCAGACCAGAAGAGTCCAGACCTCTCCTTTCCGTTTGTATATGCTGCTGGGATCCTTATATACAT